ATATAAACCATGAAATGAAATGATGTTTCTAGCCATTTCTGGCGAATAGCAACAATTGTTCAAATCTAAAACTAAACTATTCCTAAGCACTAAAGAATACACTCCAATCTTGGTCACAGGCGACGATCTTCTGTTCCCCATGATTAGATTGATCCTTCCTTGCTCCACATCCCTACTTCTTTTAGTCCCTGCACATTAGAACAAATGTGATAACCGCAACCGGTATCAAGAACCCAAGAAATAGCATGATTAGAATCGTTAGATTTGATTGTGTATATACCTGCGAAAGATGGCTTGATCTTTCCTTCCTTGATGGCTTGCAGGTAATCCGGGCAGCTTCTCTTCCAATGTCCTATCTTGTGGCAGTGGTGGCACTCTGCCTCCTTGGGTTGGAAAGGGCTTAGAGGGATCAACTTTGGTCCCACTAGAAGAGGAACCATCTCGGGCTTTCACCTTTCGATAGTTATTCGATGAAGCTTTCCTCTTCTTTCCCTTCCCTTGACCAATAGCCAAGACAGGAGCAGCGGATGGATTGGGAGTTGGTGCAACAGACTTGTCCTTGAAGTTGCTCTCAGCAACCCTCAAGAGACCTTGGAGTTTGCTTAGGGTGACCTCCTCTTTGTTCATGTGGTAGGTCATCCTAAATTGGTTGTACATCGGAGGCAAAGAGTGAAGCACCATGTCGATCGCCAAGTCTTCGCCGAAGTCAACATTTAACTTGCGAAGGCGGTCGACATACCTTTGCATCTTTTGCAGGTGCACGGTAAGAGATTCTCCATGACCCATCTTAGCGGAGATCATGTTAGTGAAAATCTCGTAACGCTCTTGTCTCGCGTTTTGGTGGTACCTCTCCAACAAGTCTTGATGCATCTCGTATGGATACATGTCCTCGTAGGACTTTTGGAATTCGGAGTTCATGGTGGCGATCATGATGCAATGTACTTTCGTTGCATCTCGCTCATGAGTTTCAAAGGCGGTGATTTCGGCGGGAGTAGCAACTTCGGGGTTGATTTTCTCGAGCTTCTCATCGAGGACATACTCTTTATCCTCATAGCGAGCAATGGTGCGAATGTATCTTATCCATTCGCTAAAGTTCGTTCCATCGAAGGTGACCTTTTGGCAAAGGCTCATCAACGTGAAAGAACTAGCAGCAGCGTTGTTTGCGTTTGACATCTATAGAAAGGACAAAGATAGATTAGAACAAGAATCCCTAATTATCACCCAATAAGAAAAATTAGGGCTAGGATCCAACAATAACATTTACATACTAGAAAAGGGATGCCGTAATCTAATATGCAAATAAATTGAAGGTAAGTGAATGACGATTCACTAATTCTCCATTACAAAACTTAAACTATTAGTCCTAAGTGTTTTTGAGAATTCCTAGGTTCGGATGAGATTCATTGAACTATTCAATGGCATGTTTAAATCTCGATATGCCCCTCTTGTTTGTGACTGGGATGCCGAGGATCACAAAGCGGGTGTGAATTACCATGCAAATTCACATGGTGCCTTCATTGTAACGATCACCTATTCGATGTGCCGGTAAACCACACACGCTCCATCGAACTATGATAAACAATGAATCACCCTTTGCCACCTTCGCTTAGAACCAATTAGTGTGCCGGTAAACCACACACGCTCCACTAACTTCTTAGCAAGGTGCAAAGTGTAATTTCATGGGATTGCATCAATTCACTTTTCCTAAAGTAACTAAGATTGGGAAATTTTTAAAACGTGTAGTTACTTTGTGTTTCTTATTATACTTTTAATGAGAGGATGAGGTTGCCCTATCCTACCCGTTCGGCTAACGACCCTCCACCAATCAAGCAAGCGGTGGGTGTGAGTGTACACCCATTAAGCGCCATTTTATAGGCCGCAACCTTATACCCACCTTATAGATCGGCTTCGTGAATGAGGCCTACTAGCGGTAAGACTAGCATTTAGTTATACATATATATATTATTCTAGTAATATCATATAAGTATAGGGTTGTATTTTAAAACCTTTTAAAATCTAGGGTTTGAAATTTAAGTTGTCTAAATTAAAACTTTTAATCACAAATATAAATTTCAAAACTTTAGGGTAGGTTTTAAACATTTAAAACATGGAGGATCAAATAACAAATAATTCCAATTAACAATTAATATCCTAATTATCTTTATTTGATTTATCTAAGATTTCTTTCAAGATAATTATCAAAATAATTAATCATTATCATATAAGGAAATTAAATATTTTATTAGATGATAAATATCTTTAATTAGATCAAGATAATAGTCATATTTATCAAAAAATCGGATTTAGATTGATCTAATATGATTAAGGTAAGTTTCCATAAGATAATTATGAAAAAATCCCGAATCTGGCCATTCCTGACGCCTGGACTCGCCGAGTCACAAGGGGACTCGCCGAGTCAGGCCTACTCGCCGAGTCCACCTTGGAACTCGCCGAGTCAGTGACTCATAAACCCAAAAATCGAATTTTGCAGGTTTGTTTCAGTTAATCAAGCAACAATTTAAAGAAAACCAAGCTAGGCTCTGATACCACTGATGGGTTTTAGCCATAAGAACTTTCCTATGTGCGCATGCAAAACCCTATGCTCGGATCTAGGCTTTCTAATTAAACATGCTTTGAATCCAAGACTTCTAATAGCTAATTAGGTTAAATAACAATTGAAACAGATCTAGAATCATACCTTTGAGTTCCTTGTTGATCTTGTTGTCTTGGAGCTTCTAGAGTCACAAATGTCACTCCTCTAATGGCTTACAAACACCAATAGCAAGCAAGATGATTTAGGAGAGAGGAGAGGGGAGGAATTCGGCCAGAGGTTCCTTGCTTTGGTTGTGTGTCGAATTCCCTCACCCCTAGGGTCTATTTATACTTGTAGACTCCTTAAGGGTTACACCTAAACCCTAATTGGATAATCTTCTCTTAAGGATCCAATCCATTCCATAGATAACCCTATGGACGATTTTGGCTTATCCAAGCCCTAGAAATCGTCCATCCTATCTAGGATAAGGATTAATAGTCTAAAGTTTAACTATCAAACAATTGACAGTTTATACCCTCTTATTTAATTAATCTCTTTAAGTCACCAAATTAATTCCAATTAATCTATGACTTATATTAATCAAATAACCATATATTATTCCTTATAATATTTACTCTCTCTTAACAAATCATCCTTCAAGTTGCTATGGTGAAGGCAACCCAAAAGGACCATGCACAACCGTATATAGTTATAGCCTTAGACACTATTCCAACAAATAGATGGTAAAGATTATGAGGGAACCAGTGGTAAGAAAGTAAAAGTTTGTATATATGGGAAGGAACAAGTGGTAAGAAGGTAAAAGGTGGTAAAGATGGGGAAAGAAGTAGTGGTAATAAGAGAACCGATGATATGTGTAAGAAGGAAGCAATGCTATCAAGGGCACTGATAGTAATAATGGGGAAGGAAGCAATGGTAAGAAGGAAATGGATAGTAAAGATGAGAAAGGAGCTAGGGGTAAGAAGGTAATTATAAAGAAAAGAAAGAAGTCTGAAAGAATTATCAAGAAAAAACTTGCTACAAGGGTTCAGAGTAAGAATGGGGAAGGTAACTCTAGTGACACGCCAATGGAACTTGAATAGGAATTAAATTTGAATGACTGTCATTATGTACTTGTCATTTAGAATCAAATTGTGATGTTTCGAATTAAGTTTGGATGTTTGTTATAATGTACTTATGATGTTTTGAAATAAGTTTGGATGTTTGGTGTTGTGTACAACCATTTGTAATGTTAATGGTTTGAATGTGGTTATGATTATGTGTTAGTTATGGGCGTGCATGGTATTGGCGTCCATTTTAGACACTAGTTTAACTGCATATGGTCCCATTTGTCCATGTTTAATCTATTTCCAATGTCACTATCAACAAATAAAGTACCGGTCTAACATACCCATTGTTTTTGGACTAAAATAGAATAAAGATACATGGACAATAGAGTACTTTCCAATACAAGGAAATTAACATCAGCAAACCATTAAAACATGTAAACAATTACACCAAGGAAAACAATCTAACTAACAACTAAACACATCTTCAGCTTCAAAATCATTGATTTAAGCTTATTTATTGACCTAGCCAAACCTGCAATCATAACTGCTTCAACACTCATATTCTAAGTGTCTACTTCTTCTACCCAACAAATAAAACAATTACGAGGTCCCTAACAAAAAGAATTTTCAAGTGAGATGGAGAATGGATGAAACTAATAAATTAGGGCTACATTAGAAAAATAAAGAAACTAACACACACCATAGTGGGGAAATCATAAAAGGGTTTTCCAGGGTTGAACGGAGTGGAAGACATTAGTATTATGGTGACACATCCACACAAGCATTTCACCATTTTCGCTTCGTTAATGCCAATGGATCCTCAATTCTGAAACCAAAAAAGCATAGGGAAAAAGAGAGGGATGTATGTCCACTTTACTATCAAGTAAGCAAATAAAGTACTTATAAATAGGAAATGATGAAAATACCCCTTTATTTGACCTCACACACATCTGTCATAATTGGTGCACCAACACACTTAATTACCATTAACTAAGGCAAACAAAGTGCATCCAAATATTCAAACAATAACAGATTCATAATCTTATCTACTGCTTATCGTGTTCATGGATCCACCAAAAGTTAACCCAAAACAACAACAACAATGAATGCAAGAAATTATAATCCATTCTTGCCTGATTGTATGAAGCATGTATTTCACTTTACATTTATACCAATATCATACCAAATGCATGTTACTGGTAACTGAGACATCAAAATACATCCAAACATTACCATTACAACCACCACTTGAGTACCACTACCTACACAAACTGGATTACCACTAACACAAACTAAACACAGATCATCCTACTAACCTATATAATAAGAAACACCATTAAATCTAACAGTAGACTATGAGCACTAGATTAGAATACCACCACAACCCATGTCCATGAGATTCACTTGATGAATATCAAGTGAATGATGAAAATCATGACCAGGAACATGACAACGACAACACCCACAACCAACAGAGAAATCACTTTATTCTGCTTCTCAACATGGTCGAAACTTTGTTGCATGTTGAGGACATCCACCTTGGAATGAAGGTAATCTTGACCCATCTCCTCCTTCATATGCTCAAGCTGACCTTGTTGCTTAGCTATCTTTTCACCATAGTCACAAAAGATCGTGTGAAAATCATTCAATTTAAGCCTGTCTATTGAACTTATGGAGTTTTTGGAGTTTATAGTATATGGTGATGGTGGTGGGGTAGGATCCATGGAAGACAATGAATGGAAAAAAGAGTATTGTCGAATGGTTGTCGGTAAGTGTTTGGCCGGAAACGGTAGCAATATATTAGGGTTTTGTCCAGCAGATCCTTATATTATATACTAGGGGACCACTGAACCCTTAGTACCCAAGAAAGGAAACTCGTTCATGAGTCGGTGATTTGTCATCAGAGTTGGGTGAGTTGACTCTATAACTGAGTTGGGTTATGACTAGTCAAGGAGACCGATTTAGTTTGGTCAAAAATCCCTAATTAGCCGATAAAATGTTAACTCATGCCCTTATAAAACCAAAAAATAACATAAGGGACCTTTTAAACCAAAATGTGTAATTTTGTGGGGTAAGAGTGACATTTTCCCTTTTTAGTATGTTTCCAGGTAACTCATTTTCAACATTTAGATCCAAATCTGGATCATTAGCTTCCATTTCTCAAAGCTGTCCAATTTCCCAGTTGATACTGAAATCAACAAGCATATCCAACAGATATTGCCTCAAGAATTATAGGGCATCAGCATAAGCTTTATTTGTACTTACCCTCAACTTTAACCAAGAATCAATGATTGATATCAGATTGATTTATCCTAGGGAAATCAGCTTCCGAAAGCATGAAATCAGAGTTGTCTATCTTTTTTCCTTGAAAGAATGCATGTGGCATCTTTTGAAATTCTCTGATTTCAATATTACTAATTGAAGCAATTTTGGACTTTTACCATATGGGGACAACTTAAATTGGTTTCTCCAAGAAGAATCTTTTCTTCACCTCTTCAATGTATATACCATTTGTAACTAAATTTATTGCACTTGGACATAGATTGATCTTTGTACCATTCGGGGGCATAGGGATATCCTAGTTTTCCTTAGAGGGGTCTGAAGGAGGTATAAAGGAATTTGTAGGCTTGATGACCTTGATCTTCTAATAAGAATATTTATCAGGATTGAAGTAGATGGTCCTCCTTAGAGATGGTGCTCAAAATTGTTCAGCATGCCTTGTGTTTCTTTCTTAAGGAGAGATCTCTGAAGATTTCTTTCCAAGAAGCACCTCTTGATTAGCATTTAATTGATATGCATGAAGATCCTTTGCTAATTCTTCATCCACCTTTTGTTGAGCCTCTTTGGCTTACTCCTTCTTTATTTTGAAGACAACCTGTTGTTTTCCTCTATCCTTGGCATCGAATTGAGGAATCTTTGGTTAGACGATTGGTTGTGGTGTGGTGATAGGTTTGGTGATGTAAAAATCTTTCCTTCTTAGAACCTTTAGACCTGGATCCTTGATCCCTAGCTTACATATCAGTTCCTTTTTTGTTTCGGCCATTTGTGCTCTATTTTTTTAAGATTTTAGTCTTGCTTCACCAAGCATTTTGTTAATTGACTCTAATTTCTCTTTTCTGATTTTCTCAAACTTATTTGGTGAGTCTGGAATTCGATGAATGATAGGAGAGTGACTTGATCTGTACTTATCTACCTTTTCCCCCTCTAGTTCAGGTGGCATGTCGTTTAAACCAGATAATTTTGTCAAGATCAAGTCGAGCTTAGAATCAGACGAGGCAATTTTTTGCTGAAGCTCACATAAGAAGAAGAAGAAGATTGTGACTTGATACCCTTAACTTCATTGATTAGTTATTGAATAGTATTCTAGAGAGAAGATATCTCACCCGAGTAGTTATGGTCCTTCTGAGAATTGGATTTTGAGAGATTTGCAGTGTCAGATTGCAATGAGTCCAATTGACGTTGAACCTGCTCACTAAATGCTTGAAAGGAGTAGTGGAAGATAATTATGGAACTTTAGAGAGTTCTGTAACTGACTTTTCAAGAGTGGCAACATATCGGTTTTGAGTAGTGATATTACTTTACAAATGATCTAGTTTAGCTTCCTAGACTGAATCTAGATTTGATAAAGAACGAAGAAAATCATCGATTTTCTAATACATTAGAGAGAGATGACCTTCGATGGTCTTTTGAATTTTTAGATCTAGAGTTTCATCCGCAGCATGTTACGTATAACTTGTCCCTTTGTAACAAATCGTTATTTCAAGTCAATGTAATAGTCTAGCTCAAATTGTAACTCATTCTAAAGTAATAAAGAAATAAAGCTGATATCGATCAAGAAAGGTGTAGTGGTTGTGACAAGGATTCCAGAAATATGAAGAACGTCGAAATCTAAGCTATAACGAAGAAGTTATGGCCTATCAAAGTTTAGCGACAGAACTGGCACGAAACTATGTGTCAGAAAAAGTGATTTTATAATAAAATGATTTCTATCCTTAACAATATAAATGAAAGTCGTAGTATACGTTAAACCAAGAGCACGCATAAAAAGAATGTCCAAATCTTATTTCATATGAGAAGTTATGAATTTTCTAAGATTCGGCATAACAGTGTATAGCTCCGAATCCAAATTATAGATCGAACGATTTTTAGCCGACACAACCTAAATGAGAATCAAATATCTCATAAATAGTAGATTAACGGTAAAAAGACAGAAGAAAATGGACGTCGGATGAAGAAGTGATTAATTTTTAACGGACTTTTCCTGTCCTGACCTGTTAAAAATATAACTTTAAAAATAAATTGAAAAATTGCAGATTGAGTCTAAACGAAAGGTGTAGAGTATGGTCTCACCTACGCGTGGATATAAAGAACATCAAAAGCAGAGCTCGTATGCGAAAGTTATGAATTTTTGAAATTTGAGGCCAAATTTCAAGGCTGATCCAAAGGGGAACGCCCCGCGTTCAAAGCCACCTAGTCCGGAGTTCGCCACCAACCCACTTCGCATGACTAACACATATGAAATCTCAAAAAATCAGACACGAGCCCCAATCCTCCGCCCCGCGTACAAGGGTACGCCCTGCGTACCATAATGCGTAGTGTTCCTCGCAGGAACGCCCAATGTACCGAGGGTCAGATTGTTACTATAAATAATGTGCGAAGCCTCTCAGATTATGTTGCAAAATTCATTCTCTCTTTCACCCTATACACCCTCTTAAGCCACTCTAAACCCTCCCCAAGCTTAGGGAACCTCCCTAACACTAGAATAAATCCCCGGAGCACCCGAAATCCCCAAGAAAAGAGTCTTTTCGGTTTGAAACTCTACCTGCGCCGAACCTGGTTTTCAGTAGAAACTCTCGATTTCAAGAAGCGAAGTGTTGTCCGAATCACCACTTTATCAGGTGAGTTCATACCCCTACGTTTTCACTATCTTTTCATATTTTAAGGGGGGATACAAGTAAAACACAAGGAAATCTTGTGTTAATAACAAAAGTATTCAAATAGTTTTCAGTTGTCGTTTTTACTAAAATAAACATAGTAGTTTACTAGTTCGGGATTCCATACAAAAATACAAACATATAAACTATAATAGGTATAGTTTATGAGTCAAACATACGATTTTATCAATACAAAATGGTTTTTCATTATTCTACACGTAACCGTCGATATAGCATTGTGAGACATACTTCAAGTACTTATCTAAATATCAACCAAGCCCTAAAATTATAACCAGAGTCTCCTAGAGGGAGAGCGTGACACGTGTGTATAGATCTATACGGGACTAACAATCATGCACCTAAACTATTGGCTACTGATTAGGCCGGCAAGCCTGGGGTGACACATGTCGTACCAATTACGACGCCTGAAGAACGTCGTGTTTAGGAAATCTTAGGTCAACAAGCATGGTTATGATAACTCAAAATTTGGTATTGAACAATACGATTGGTGTATGAATAAGTAAACAATTTCACTTAGTTTTATTAAATAATAAAACTACAATACAGTATTTTACAGTACAGCTGGTGAATCCATGCACTTACATTTATAGAGTTTTCATACAAGTACAAATACATAATACTATACCAGTATAGAGAAAACGTACATTTCATGGTTTTATGTGAATTAAAACTATATTATAATATTTCAGAGTACGATAACAATTACACATTTTGGTCTTAGGGTATTAAGACTACAACACATTTATAACAGAAAATATAGAATTTTCTAGGAGAACATACTTACATTTTCAAGGAACAAATGACAGATTTCAATTACAAACATGCTTATGAACTCACCAAATTAATTGTTGACACTCCTTTCAAAACTATTTGTATTCTCAGGAAATCAATAAACATGTATCCACAAGTTTTGAGAAGACAGAGTTTCATATAGTCATGTCTTTTAATTTTTGCTATACATTTTGGTGTCAAGTATACATGGATTTGAACACGAATGTAAAACTATACTTTAACAATGTAATTGTTGTTGTAATTTGATTTCTATTATGCAATTGTTGTGATACCAAACTTGACGTCATCCGCCCCGAACGTTTCCGCCGTTCCGGTTAGGGGGTGTGATAGATTGGTATCAGAGCATTGTTTATAATGAACTTAGTATATCAAACCATAAAAGATATAAAACTATAAATACAATGGGGCTGAAACGGTCTGAATAAAAGAATACTTTTAAAATATAAGTATTTTATAAGAAGTATACTAACATGCATACATACAAGAAACAGTATCACAGTGAGAACTACATATAAGTATTTAGATGTTGGACACTACAGTTAAACCTAGACAGTTATGTAATCGTATTTGGGATAAATATAGCATGATCAACTATATTTATTTTAGATATGAGCAACATGTTTTCAAGAGTGATCATGGTGTTACAACAAGTCTAAAACTTGCAAACAAACCATACAGAGAACCTTTATCATACAAATTTAAAATACTATAGGAGTATTTTGTGATACTATAAAACAACATGCTTAAATTCTTTCCATGCTTCTTACCTCTATTCTCGTATAGACATTATGGTAGGATTTCACCCACCTAGATACCTCTATTTCCCTAATTAGGGAAATGGTGGATAGGTTGATGATGATCCCGAAGAGGATCCTAAGGAGGAACAAGAAGAAGAATATTCTGAAGAAGAGGGATCAGAAGACTCAGACACCAAACTCAAAGTTATTAATCCACCAAACATAGCCTGCGTTCCAGCACATCGTTACAGCTACAATTGACCCACGCCTCATTGGGTGGAAAACCTAGAGCATTGGAGTAGACAACAAGGCCAGCGACCCCCTACGGCATGGAACGGGGTTTTTATAATCTTAGTCACGGAGGACCTGCAGACAGAGCCCTCCTGGTCATGGTACAACGAATCACCCAAATTGGAGAACGGACAAGGGAATCCGTCAACCAGATCATGGAGGTTAGCGCCACCACTGAAGTTATCGCTGTCCGTCATTGCCGTCTGGATGAAGACCACAATCGAACCCGAGATCACACAGAGGTCCTTCAGGTACAGATGATCGCAGCGCAAGCTGAGGTTAGGGAACTTCGGGAACATCGAGTTGTATTGGAGGGATGGGTGATCGAGGCAGAACGCCAAGTGATGAATCTTGAACTGAGATAAGGGCAACGTGAAATTTCATGGCTTCGTTTCATGGTCCACAGAGCAGCACCCATCGCGAGTACTGTATACACTACTCACAGCATGTTATAGACTATATTTCCGAGTGGGCGTTAGTGCCACTCTTTTCAATATGTAATTTCAATCATGCGATTAAGTGAATACACTATTCGTGGGTCGTACTGCATTCAAAATTTTCCTTACGTTGATATAATGTAGACCTATATCAAGGTCAAATTTTCCTAATTACTATGTACAAAAATATATATAAACAAAATTGACATGCATTTTATTTCATTAGGAGTTATCACAAATTTCTTAACATTCTTATAAATTCTTTACTCATGGTAAATCTATGATTACTTAGTCTATATGTTAAAGTTATATGTATTTAAGATTCTATTGAATTAGAAATGGTAGGACCGATGTAGGTCTTGTTCCTTTTTTTTTTTGTGGACTTAAGGCAGACCCATTATGTTCAACAGTCTATTCAATCTTAATTACATACAACTTGTATACACCAAGTGATTTTAAAAGGACATAGTATGGATCAAATCACAGAATTTCATTTGAAGCATTACTATTAAATTCATAATTTTATTTTATACAGACTTCTATTATGAATTACTTGCAAATACTTTAATGACAGGACATATTACATACATAACTGATAATATAGTTCAATAACATATGACTTACAATTACTACTGGAGACTTACCATAAATTTATATTTAAACCTTATGGCAGAAAGATGCATCCATGCAAACCAATCAAGCGTGTTATCAATAAACCCGATATCAATCAAGAAAGGTGTAGTGGTCATGACAAGGATTCCGAAAAATATAAATAACGCCGAAATATGTGCTATAACGGAGAAGTTATGGCCTATCAAAGTTTCGCGACAGAATCGGCATGACACTGTGTGTCATTAAAAAGTGAGTTTATAATAAAATGCTTTTTAGCCTTAACAATATAAATGAAAGTCTTAGTATACGTTAAACCGAGAGCGTGCATAAAAAGAACGTCCAAATCTCACTTCGTATGAAGAAGTTATGATTTTTTTAAGATTTGGCATAGCGATGTGTAGCTCAGAATTCGAATTATAGATCAAGTGATTTTTAGCCGACACAACATCAATGAGAATCAAACATCTCATTAATAGTAGTTTAACGGTAAAAAGACAGATGAAAATGGACGTTGAATAAAGAAGTTATGAATTTTTAACGGACTTTTCCTGTCCTGGCCTATTAGAAATATAACTTTAAAAATAAATACAAAATTTGTCGATGGAGTCTAAACGAAAGTTGTAGAGTATGGTCTCACCTATGCGTGGATATAAAGGACATCAAAAACGAAGCTCATATGCGAAAGTTATGAATTTTTGAAATTTGAGGCCCAAATTTTGAGGCTGGTCCGAAGGGGAACCCCCGCGTTCGCAGCCACCTGGTCCGGAGTCGGCCACCAATTCGCTTCGCATGACTAACACGTTTGAAATCTCAGAAAACTAGACACGAGCCCCGCTCGTCATCCCCGCATAGGAGGGTACGCCCTGCGTACCATAACGCGCAGCATTCCTCGAAGGAACCCCTAACGTACCGAGGGTCATATTGTTACTATAAATAGTGTGCGAGGCCTCTCGGATTATGTTGCAAAACTCTCTTTTCATATTTTAGGGGGGAGGGATACAAGTAAAACACAAGAAAATATTGTGTTAATAACAAAACTATTCAAATAGTTTTCAGTTGTCATTTTTACTAAAATAAATATACTACTTTAGTAATTCGGGATTCCATACAAAAAATAAACATATAAACTGTAATAGGTATAGTTTATGAGTCATACATATGATTTTATCAATACAAAATGGTTTTTCATTATTCTACACGTAACCGTCGATATAGTTTTGTTAGACTTACTTCAAGTACTTATCTAAGTATCAACCAAGCCCTGAAATTATAACGAGAGTCTTCTGGAGGGAGAGCATGACACTTGTGTATAGATCTATACGGGACGGACAATCCCGCACATAAACTATTGGCTACCGATTAGGCCAGCGAGCGTGGGGTGACAAATGTTGTACCAATTACGACGCCTGAAGAACGTCGTGTTTAGGCCATCTTAGGTCAACAAGCATGGTTATGATAACTCATAATTTGGTATTGAACAATACGATTGGTGTATGAATAAGTAAACAATTTCACTTAGTTTTATTAAATAATAAAACTACAATACAGTATTTTACAATACAGTTGGTGAATCCAGGCACTTACATTTATAGAGTTTTCATACAAGTACAAATACATAATACTATACCAGTACAGAGAAAACATACATTTCATGATTTTATGTGAATTAAAAATATATTATAACATTTCAGAGTATGATAACAATTACACATTTTGGTCTTAGGGTATTAAGACTACAACACATTTATAATAGAAAATATAATATTTTTTGGGAGAACATACTTACATTTTCAAGGAACAAATGACAGATTTCAATTACAAACATGCTTATGAATTCACCAACTTAATTGTTAACACTCTTGTCAAAACTACTTGTATTCTCAGGAAATCAATAAAAGGTATCCACAAGTTTTGAGAATACGGAGCTTCATATAGTCATGTCTTTTAGCTTTTCCTATACATTTTGGTGTCAAGTATACATTGATTTGAACACAAATGTAAAACTATACTTTAACAATGTAATGGTTGTTGTACTTTTATTTCTATTATGCGATTGTTGTGATATTGAACATGACATCATCTTCCCCCGAACGTTTCCTCGGTTTCGGTTTTGGGGGTGTGACACCCTTGATATACGCAGCCATGCCATTAAAGTCTTCAATTGTGACCTTAAGTTTTTTCAGTTGTGCGTCTGTTTTCTCATTAAGGATACACACATTGTCTGCGATACGTTCAAGATACAATTGAAATTTGTCCAAATATTTATAATGAGAGGATGTGTGAAAGCGGATTTCCTTAATACAATTAGCTACCATCTCAGCAGTTAGTCTAATACGTTTATGCTCAGGTTCAGATGTATTTGGTTCATCTATATGTACTAGAGTACCATCACCCCGAGGAGGATCTGGAGGAAAAGAAGAGAACTTTACTTATTGAGTATCATCCTTGTCTTTGGAATCTTTTTTAGGTAAGGTAGATTAATCATCAAGATCAATGCTAAATGTCTTGGTAGATGCGTTGAGCGTAAGACGATTGACATGTCATTTGGTTCATCGTCAACTATCACTCCTTCACTAGAAGGTATGTCTACCGTCTGCATAGAAGTGTCATCATCTTGATTATCTTGTAGTGGAGAGCTTTTAGTGAGATCTTCAAGTTCAGATTGCTTTTCACCGTCTTGGTCATGATCCTCATTTGAATCATAATCAACCAAGGAGACATGATTGCTTGGACCTTCTAGATACGACTGAAAGGATGCTTGTGAAATTGGAGCTGGAGAGGATGATTTGACATAATCAGATGGAGCTTAAAACAAGGGATCTAAGAAAGGGAGCGGCTTAGAGGTTGTACCAGCTTAGGAGGAGATGTGGGCGCATCTAAATCTGCTCCAATATTATCTTCAGATACGTGTGGATATGGGATAGAAGGCGGTTGATCTAGCTTTGATCGCTTCTTCTTCCTTGCTGACTTCTTGGAAGCATGATCTGAGTACTTCCTTTTCCTTTTGGGAGATGAAGTATTTCCCTTGATGTATTTGTGATATGAGCACAGAGAGGCACTGTTTTAACTCAGTTTTGCTAGAATAACATTTGGAATGATGACTAGATGTGAATACTCAGATTCAAATGCAGTACGAATCTGATATGGTGAGACATGCAAGAATAATGGAAGTGGGTTGTCTGGAATCTCCTTTGGTTCGTGATTGTTATTATTTATGACATCACGAATAATGATGGACCACCAGTGAGGATGATAAATTAGGAACTTATTCTTTGAGACAGGGAGAAAGGTGAGGAAGTCTTCTCAAAGAATAGACACATAGCCAATGTTGATATTATAGAAAAGTCCATACATGACAATCCAAAGATCTGTTGTACAACGACTGTGTCCACCAACTGATCCTAAAAGACAATGAGTGAGGACGAAACTGAGAAAGTGCCATGGCATGGGAAGGCGAGTTTTCTTAATTCTGGAAAGGTTTGGTTCAACTTTTGCTTCAAATTTGCACCCTATTTCCTTGAACAATCTCAACAGCTAAGCAGAAGAAGGTGTGACAAATCTTGAAGGTTCATGAGAACCATCGCTTAGACCTAAGCAAATTACGAACTCTTCTTTAGTTAGAACCAAGTTAGTTTGACAAAGGTTAAATTCAACATCAAACTCTTTTGACTTTGCTCTTGGCGATATGACTGCATATTGAAAGATGTCTAAAATAAGAGACCGTGGAGTTGGAGAAGTAGCTATAAGTGCATATGCCAATGGGCATTTTTAAAAATAATCAACAATGACACCGATTTCTATAGTTTGTTTCTAAGTTTTAAGAAGTGCAATATAGTTTGATACAGCCATAGCGAATCGGAGCAATGATGTGCTTGTTGTAGTTAGATATCAAGGCTGGAAAATTTTCAGCTTTTAGTCAAATTTTTGTAATCCATGAAAACTTTAAAACATGTATATCTCATTTGTGTAAAGTCAGAAATATATGTGGACTTTTCCAACAATTAAGTTAGAGTTTGTACTTAAGTTTAGACAGTAATTTTTGTTAGTGATTTAGTGTCACCAGATTTTTGTGTAATTGGAACTAATAGATGAGCTAAGGGGCTTATTATTTGCACTATATATATTATATGTTCGGTGAATGCGAAGTGCATAGATATATAAGATCGAACTATAAGCTAATACGATAGAATGGTGGAGGGGTCATGTTCTATATGCAACTACATTTGTATGCAACTACATTTGGTAATGCTTCGACGCCATGTTCTATATGCAACTACATTTGTATGAAGTAATAGATGAGCTAAGGGGCTTATCAAATGAAAATGATATTAGCATCAGAAAACTTACTTTTGGTAATGTTTCGACATCATGTTCTATATGCAACTACATTTGTATCGGTCCAAGAAGTACAAGAATCGGAATTGGACATGGATTTGATAAGCCTCCACATGTGTGGCCACGCTCTACACACTTCTTCCAAATCGGTCGGGTCCAACCAATCCGATCCAAATGCTAACTACCAGATAAAAAGATATATTTATAAGAAAAAAATATAATATAAATACATAAAATCATGGTTCATAATGTCATGGTCTATAACTATAAGTGATTGATTATAATGTAAATATATAAAATAGTGGTCTTCCTCCCAAGATCAATGTTTCTATAAACTTCTTCGACCCTACTCTTTTTCTATAAACTTCTTCGACCCTACTTCTAGAATCATTTTTAAAACACATTTTAAAAAGGAAAAAAAAAAAAAAAAAAAAAAAAAACTTTCGTAACTGTCTTTTGGATTGAATATCATGTTTGTATTTTTAATGTTTTCCATTACCAAAATGATGTTTTCTATAATGGCTCGGTTACTTTATTTATTTATTTATCATTATTATTATATTGGTCGCAAACACAACCTCGTTTTATTATCTTTTTCGTTAATTTTTTTTATCTTTTCACAAGGTGGACGAAAGCATTATAGACTAATAGGTGTAACAAAGGATTTAAAAATTTTAAGAGTACATAAAACACATAATAGTAGTGTGTATATATATATATATATATATATATATATATATATATATATATATATATATATATATATATATATATATATATATATATATATATATATATATATATTAGTCGTTTATCCGCGCCAAGCGACGTGTGTGACAATGGTGGTTGAATGTTTAAAGATGAATTAAACCCTTAAAATGGAAACATCAGCGATATATATCCAAGATTTGTGAACAGAAATTGTGAACTAGATTTGGGGAAATACGGAGATAATGAATGCACAGGATCAAAATAACCTAAGAATAGGGGATAAGAGATTTGATCTTTTCAAATGTTGACCATATGTACTCTACTATTTTTGTAATTCATAAATTGATTGTACAAATGCATTGTATGTTTGTACGACTTACAATTCGACATTTGACCAAAAATGCTTTATAAGGTAATTAAGATTAAGATATATATATATATATATATATATATATATATATATATATATATATATATATATATATGAACCAATCATTTTACAAACCTAAATAATTGTAAATATATAATCTTAGCTATTATTTAATTTTGGTTACTAAATAAGTATTTAATTAATCCCTAATCTTCTTCAACCTTGCCCTAGCATTGAGCGCATGAACAACCCACCCCTCATCGTTGCTCTCTCTCTCCCTCTCTCTCTCACTCTATATATATATATATATATATATATATATATATATATATATATATATATATATATATCTTTCACTTTCTGATACTAAAAGTTTGTGATGGAGAGCTTGGGTGAGGGCTCCTGCTTTCTCCGGATAAACAAGTATGTATGCTTTAAAATCCCCCTTCTGTTCAGCAATTGTATACAGTGAGGAGTCCGTCGGCAATGTCAGCAATCGGTGGAGGAAGCGGTTCCTCAAATTTAAACGTCTCATCGTCTACTTCCTCTCATCAAGCCCCCAAAATCCTATTAGCCAAGCAAGCTCTAGTCACTGCCGCCAAGTACAATCGCGGACCAGGTGGCGGTGGTCCTGATGATGCTTCATCATCACTCCGCTCCTTCCACCCCTCCGTTGGCTTTCTGAATCTGTTATCCGACTCCTGGGATTTCCACATTGATCGCTTCCTTTCGGTAAGTTGCTAGCCTTTTTTCAACTTAACCCATATGTATGTCGTATATTGAACTCGTTTGATTGCAGTTTTTGACGGACAACATTGATTTTACAGTGATCGGAGTGATTGGTCCGACAGGGTTCGGCAAGTCTACTATCATGAATGAGATTTATGGCTTTGATGCAACTTCTCCTAGAATTCTAACATTCATTCCTTTTTTCATCTGTATATACACTTGCATTTGCAACTTCAATTAATATTGATTCATCTTCTGTTATCATTGGGGGTATGGATGTTACCTCCTTTTCCGATAGAATCCATGGAAACAAAGGCCATGGCTAAGCATTCTACAGTTGGAATTGAACTTAGAATCACTTTTGAAAGGATCATACTTCTTTATACATATATTTTCACATTTAAACTCCCAAACCTTTCTTTACCTTCTGCTAAATTATGTTGTATGGAATGCAGCCTGTTTATAGTCCATTAATTTTGGCTGAAATGATTAGACCCGATGGTTGCCCCAACCTAATCATATGAGAAACTCCATTGCATATTTTTTTACTCTTTCTTAACCTGCTTAGGTCTGGTTCCATCAAGTACAAGAGATTTCCTTTGTATTTACTATTTATGCATTTTTTACTTCGATATTTTTCTAACATAATGCATAGGGTAATTGAATCCTCAATTCTAATTCTATCGGAATTGAATCATTAATTCTAATTCTGTCAGAATGGAATATGGATATTTTCTCACTGATTTATGCATGTTCTACACTTCTTGGTTATTAGTTTTTGCGCAATTCATAAGTACGTATATTATTTAAAAAAGAATTTAGTTTTTTTATTTTTCATTTGCTAACGCATTATTGGATTCTAAACTACAATTAGATTTGTTTTGCTTGAAGAACGAATCACAAAATTGAAAATGATTCTTAGCAACATTATTATTTTTGAATGTATTGGTGTCTTTGATGGATTTGGATGTTTTTTTTTCCTGATTTGAATTTTTTTTTTTAGTTTTATTCTTTAACAATAAATATAATTCTTAGCGATTGTTACCCGTATGCTATAAGAATTAATGTAAATTTTTTTTTATTCTTCAATTGATGATTCAATAATTTGTTATTCTACAAGAAGTTTTTAAAGTAATGATCAAGAAATATGTTCATGAATTTTTTTTTTTTATTTTATAGTTCAAGAATACTTTTATTTTTTAATATACTCATAAACATATTATGTTAGAATGTCAAAATTAAAATAATTATAAATTATAAAATCGGATTTTTAAAATTAATGGATCTATGATCCCTTAAAATATGAAATTTTCCTTTATTAAATCTATATTAATTTACTAAAATACCCTTGTAGTTAAATTAGATGTATTTTTTAATTATATTTCATTCAATAATATGTGTTAATAAATTTCTTAAAATAAGTAAAATGATTGGCTCACAATCATTTATACATCCACACAATAATTAGTTAAAATAAAATAACCTAAGTCTACATATATATATATATATATATATATATATATATATATATTTATATATACACACACACACACACACACACATATATATATATATATATATATATATATATATATATATATATATATATATATATATATATATATATATATATATATATATATATATATATATATATATATATATATGTATGTATGGAAGGGTTATATTGAAAATAAAAAACCCTAAAAAAGATTAAAATGCATAAAAAATACTTAGAGATCACAAATATTCTTTTCTGACTTTATATTCTTAAAAATCGCAGTTTTTTATAAATTCGTTGAAAAAAAATCGATTTTTTTTATTTTATTTGTTTTAGTTTTTTAATAATTATTTGGTTTTTCAAAAAAATAAATAAATAAATTCAGCAAATTTATATAAAAAGTAGCGTTTTTAATGAATATAAAGTCAAAAAAAAGATTTATGATCTCTAAGTATTTTTTTAATACATTTTTATAGTTTTTATGGTGTTTTGGATTCCATATAACCCTTCCCTATATATATATATATATATATATTATATATATATATATATATAATATATATATATATATATATATATATATATATATATATATATATATATATGCATTTTATTTTTAGTTTACATCTCGCAAGATGATATTGTATTTTCGTAATTAATTGTGAGATTTTGATAATTTCTGGAGAAGTTTAATTATTTTGAATGTACAAGTGACAAAAGCAAAAAGATTAACATACAAAAGAAAAAAGAAAAAAGAAAAGGAAAATTTTGTCATGTGGCTGCTCCAGCAGTTGACACATG